AAATTGGACAGATACATGCAAGAAAATGAAACTAGACCACCAACTTACACCATACACAAAAATAAACTCAAAATGGATAAAGGACTTAAATGTACGACAGGAAACCATAAAAATTCTAGAAGAATCCAAAGGCAACAAAATCTCAGACATATGCCGAAGCAATTTCTTCACTGATACAGCTCCTAGGGCACTTGAAACTAAAGAGAAAATGAACAAATGGGACTACATCAAAATAAAAAGCTTCTGCACAGCAAAAGAAACCATCAACAAAACAACAAGAAAACCCACTGCGTGGGAAAACATATTTGCCAACGTCATATCTGATAAGGGCCTAATCTCCAAAATTTATAGGGAACTCATACAACTTAACAAAAAGAAGATAAACAATCCAATCAAAAAATGGGCAAAGGATCTAAATAGACACCTTTCAAAAGAGGACATTCAGAAAGCCAAGAGACATATGAAAACATGCTCAAAGTCACTAATCATCCGAGAGATGCAAATCAAAACAACAATGAGGTACCATCTCACACCTGTCAGAATGGCTATCATCAACAAATCAACAAACGACAAGTGCTGGAGAGGATGTGGAGAAAAAGGAACACTTGTGCACTGCTGGTGGGAATGCAGACTGGTGCAGCCACTATGGAAGACAGTATGGAGTTTCCTCAAAAAACTGGAAATGGAACTCCCATTTGACCCTGTGATCCCACTTCTAGGAATATATCCCAAGAAACCAGAAACACCAATCAGAAAGGATATATGCACCCATATGTTCATAGCAGCACAATTCACCATAGCTAAGATCTGGAAACAGCCTAAGTGCCCATCAGTAGATGAATGGATTAGAAAACTGTGGTACATCTACACGATGGAATACTATGCTGCTGTAAAAAAGAAGGAACTCTTACCATTTGCAACAGCATGGATGGAACTGGAGAGCATTATGCTAAGTGAAATAAGCCAGTCAATGAAGGAAAAATACCACATGATCTCACACATTCGGGAGGGGGGTAAGAGATCAACTGAAGGACTTGTATGCATGCATATAAGCATAACCAATGGACATAAGACACTGGGGGGTAGGGGAGGCCAGGAGATTGTCAAGGGCAGGGGGATAAAAAGGGACACATATGTAACACCCTTTGTAATACTTTAAGCAATTAAAGAAAAATAAAAAATAAAAATAAAAAAAAAACAATCCCAAAGGGCCATTACCACCTACCTTAACCCACTATCTAAATAATATGGAAAAGAAAAAAGAAATATAAAATTCACATTGAAATAAAAGTCTCTCCTCTTCTTGCCTTCTGCTGAAAGCTGTAGTTTCACTTTACCTATATTTGTCTACCACCACCATTTTGTTTTCTTCAAAATCTTTGAAACTTTCTTTTAGATTGGTTCCTTAGGACTGAAGGACTGAAGGAGATGCAGTCTTAAGTTTCTGAATTGTTCAGGTGTTTGGCCTACACTCTTGTAATTAATTTTTTTTTTTACTTTTTTATCTTGGGCTTGGAATTTAAACTTATTTACAGTCTGGGGTATTGCTTTTCACTTCAAGGGAGGAGATCAAGAGAATCTGAGGAAACATTAAGAAGCTGCTTTTCCATATGTTTAGCACTGTTTTCACATCACCCTAGGACCAGTGGTTCTCAACCTTCTGGCCTCATGCTGTGACCCAACCATAAAATTATTTTCGTTGCTACTTCATAACTGTAATGTTGCTACTGTTATGAATCGTAATGTAAATATCTGATATGCAGGATGGTCTTAGGCGACCCCTGTGAAAGGATCGTTCAACCCCCAAAGGGGTCGCAACCCACATGTTGAGAACCGCTGCCCTAGGACCATTGGCATAAACATTTATGCTCCTCATAATATTTCTACGAGAGGCTCTTTAATATTACTCCAGATGCCATTTAAACCAATCAGGACATTAATTTAGTTAATTTATCCCAAACTATGCATGTTGTCATGGGGACAAAATTTCTATGGAATATTAGTATATCAAGTGATCCCTGAGAGTTAAGGTTCTTGGAAAATTTATTTTAGAAAATACTACCCCCTAGAGTTTTACAATGCACAATAACATTTTTTAAAAATCTTAGTAATACTAACATAAAGACATTCACTTGATTTTAAAATTTATGCAGCTTCAAATAATTTGATTTAAAAAAAAATCTTTGTTGTTGTTATTAATCCTCACCTGAGGATATTTTTCTATTGATTTTTAGAGAGAGTGGAAGGAGAGAGAGAGAGAGAGAGAGAGAGAGAGAGAGAAATATCAATTGGTTGCCTCCAGCATGTGCCCAACCAGGGCCAGATTGAGCCTGCAACCCAGGTATATGCCCTTGACTAGAATCGAACCCAAGATTCTTCAGTCCTTGGGCTGAAACTCTATTCACCGAGCCAAACTGGCCAGGACTAAAAAACATCTTTTGAAAAAATATATAACCAAATAACATACCATACTAGTATTATCACACCTTAAATTTCTAATATAATTAATGTTCACACTTATTGCTTGCTCCCCAAAATTTAATTTCCCAAAATATACAAGATGAATTCCATATTAATATTTTCAAGACAATTATAAAACAGCCTCTATTTCTCTGCTCAGTCAAGCCACTTAAGGGTATGGTTGAATTCAAGGTCTTTTCTCTGCATTTACACTCTAGTATTGGTGTGTATCTCTCAAAGTATCTCTTGTGTTAAAATTTCCTTATTACAATTCAAATATGGATTAAAAATTACTTATATTTTGTCTTTCGTGCATTTCACCTAAAACAAAGCTCTAAGAATTAAAAAATCATGAATTTAAAAAACACAGACCCTAAAATTAAGGCCAATATTTTCTCAATATTGCAATATAAATTAATATTTCTCTACTAAAATCAGTTTCATCAAACCTAATACATATATTACTAGCTAGACATAATGCTATTTGGACCTGTAGACCAAAGCAGATATATAGAGGTATTTGAGGGGAAATGGCCTGACAGAAAACTGGAAAAGAGCAAACCATGTAAGTTTAGAGAACAGCTTTAAGTTTGGTTTTCTTTTTAATCTGAGGAGGCAGTCACTTTTGGGCAGGAGTCCAGAATCTACTATATGTGAACCCAAAATGCAATCAGGACGATTTTTTTCAACAAAATATTAATATAAGACAATTGTTCTCATATATTAATAAATTTCAGTCATCCAGTTTTTTTTTTTCTCTCTTGAGACTAGGATTTGAAACATTTCAGTATACTAGTAAAATTTGAGAATTTACAACTCTGGCACATCAGTCATGCATCTTTTATTCTATTCATTTTAAGTCCACCATGGATATTTAAAAATATTTTGATTGCCTTCAAATCATTTAAGATTCCTTCCATTGCCTAATTGGAGTAATTGACAACCTGCACTGAATTGAGTATAAACTCTAGTTCTACTCTCATTTGTGAAATATATTCCACATTAATAATAGTAGCTCTCTAAGCAAAATCAATGGTATTGCATTGCAGCTATTCCATTATTCTACTCTTTTGTTTGTGTTTTTCTAATCTGGCCACTCTCCACATCTTTCTTATCTGTATATTCTCTTTCTGTCACCAAAATTGTTGAGTCTGCTTTATACTATGAAATTCTTTAGGCCCTCAGGATAGCTTTTCATGTTTTCTAATTTTTACCTCAACAGAAGAATTCTTCTCCAAAGATTGTTGAAGAGAATCTCCTGTTCTGATATTTTGCTAGCATTTTGTTTTTTGGAATTGTAGTGAGAAGCAAAATTTTACCCCCACATGTACCTCCAACCTCAAGTATTGAGTTTCTGCACCTTGGGTAACCTTCCCACTTCCATGCTGTCACAAACATCAGTTTCTGCCTTCTTGCTACAATAAGACCTTTATTTACTCCCTCAAATATTTCAGATGCCTCTGAAGTTTATGCCCATTTCCACTTATTCTTTCTCACATGCACTGTGAATGCTGCAGCTTATGTTTGAATTTATTTCAATTTGTTTGCATGCCAATTCCTGAATGATTTATGTCTGAAGACATATTTACCCACTGTCTATGAGATCATCTTGAAAACTATTAATTTCTCTAGCATAAATCTCTCACCTGCATTAAGAATTGGCATTACATGATAGACACCTTTGCTATAGAATGGAAACTGACTGACACTTCTGGAAGGTACCAGCAATTCTAGGTTTCAGCCCACTTTGTTATAGAAATCTATTATATTGCTTTCTCCCCATCTCTGGCCAACATCCTATCTAGCTAACATTAAGTATGCACTAACCAGTATGTCAGCCTTTTCTTTACTAACCCAATGTTCCCATACTAGACTCTGAAAAGACTAAAGGGCATCAGTCATTTTGTTTTTATAATATTTATGCAAATATAGGTTGTTTCAAGTAAATTTATTTCAATGTCATTTTTGGAAACTTGACTTATCTTTGCTATTAATCTTCTTGTTAAAAAAATAAAGTATAATTAAAAGTTTGCTCTATTTTATTTCCTGTTATTCCTCTCCTCTTGGCTACTTCACCTACCTGAAAATTGTTTCCCAGACAGCATGGGAACCATGGGAGCATCTCCAACTATTACCTCTTGCTTACTGGAAGTGGGTAGCTCAGTGATTAACCTTTGCATCAGGAAAACTTGGATTCAGATTCTGGCTCTCTCCTGCCCTGACTTATGTGCCTATGGATTTAACTTTTCTGAGTCTTATATATAAAATTATTACCATAATTATTAATTCATAGGACTACTGTTATAATTAAATGAGACAACCAATTGGAAATATATAGGAGAGTCTAAAGTGCCTCTTAGTTTCTTTAATGTATTAAGTAGATTGCCAAAAGGTAGACATCAAAATGCTGAATTTCTAAATCTCCATCAGATTTAGTAAGTAATCTTTGGATTGTAACTGGGTGTTAATATGAATATTAATGACACTATCTGGTGATTGGTTATACCTCTGATGGCTGTTCATTCTTTTTACATGATTAGAAGCCACAACCAACGGTATGACAAAGAAAGAGTTGACCACCAAAAGTGCAACAGTGACAGATCTTCCACTTCCAAAGGATGTTTCAACATTACAAAGTTCCCAAAACAAGAGTAAGTATAAGCATGTGTGCTGAAACGTTAACCTAGTGTGTTAAACAGAATTAGATTTGGAATGTTTTCTAGACCTCTGCTACCAAAGAACCATGCCCCACCCATATTTCCTCCTAGTCTCTACCAAATAAGAGAATCATTTGGCAACTTTGCTTTGTACAGTGACACTGTAGCTCCCCATAGCCACAAATGGTCAGATGCCAATGAAGATCAATTCAGTGGTGGGCAGTCACCTGTGATATCATCTGGCACAAAAATGTGAGCCTGGCCAACAAATTAGACAGTTTGATAAAATAGGAAAATTCTTAGAAAACAAATTTCTAAAACTGACTAGATAGGAAGTCTGAAATGACCTAAAACAATGATAAATATTGCATTAGAAATTTAAAATGGTTCCATGAAGAAAGCTCAATACAGGGCGGCTTCACTTGCTAATTCTGTAAAATATTTTGAAAAGAAATGATAATTACTTTCAAATTCTTTCAAGAAGTAGAAGAGGGAACAGCACATAAGTAATTATCTGAGGCGAGTGTTATCCTAATACCAAAGCTAGAAAAGAATAAAAAGAAAAAGCAAGCCAAATAAACTACAGACCAAATCCCTCATAAATATAGATACAAATATCCTACTAAAATATTAACAAACCAAATTTAATAACATATAAAAAAGATAAAAATATGAGCAAGTAGGATTTATCCAGGAATGCAAGATTGGTTTAGCATTTTAAAATCAGGTAATGTAATACACTATAGTAGAATCAGTAGATACAGAAAAATATTTGACAAAATTAAACACACACTAATAATTAAAACTCTCCATAAACTAGAAATAAAATGATACTTCCTCAAAATGATAAAGGACATAAATGAAAAACATACAGCAAACAATATACGTAATAGTGAAAAACAATGTCTTTCTCTTAAGATCTGGGACATAACAAAGATGTCTATTCTCTTCACTTCTGTTCAAAATTATAACCAAAGATTCTAGATAGTACAATAAGGTAGTAGATAGATAGATAGATAGATAGATAGACAGATAGATCCATTCATCCAGATTTGAAAGAAGAAAACAAAACAGTTTTTCTTAACAGACTACATCATTATCTATGTAGAAAATCCATAGGGTCCACAAAAATTACACAAATTAGTAAAAAATATTTTATATCACAGGATATAAGATATATATTAGCAATGATGACTCAAAAATAAAATTAAGGAAATAATGTCATTTACAATTCCATGAGAAACAATAAAGATATATAGGAAGAAATTTAACAATATAAGTGAAAGATTTGTACACTGAACTATAAAACATTTCTGTGAGAAATTAAATATCTAATTAAATAGAGAGACGTTACATAATCATACATTAGAAAACTCAATATTTTAAGATAGCAGTTCTCCCCAATTTTATAAATAATTAATTAACATATTCAATAAAATCCCTGTGAAAATCATTGCAAATATAGGGGCGGGGGTTTGTTTTTGTTTTGTTGTGTGCTTTTTTATAAATTGATATGCTGATTCTAAAATATATAAAGAAATGAAAAAGACCTAGAATAAACAAAATACTTTAAAAAAAAAACACGAAGTTGGAAGTCTTACACAAGCCAGTTACAAAACTTACTCTAAAGCTATAGTAATCAAGGTAGAATGTTATTGAGGTAATGAATGTTAATAGTAGCATTATTCATAATAGTCACACTGGAAATAATCCAAATATCCATTGACTGATTAAATGGACTATTCTATTGGATTTTCCATTTGGAGTGGATTTGAAATATTCTAAAACATGGGATATCCATATAATGGAATAATATTCAGCAATTTAGAAAAGCAAAATACTAATACATGTTATAACACAATGAACCTCAAAAACATTAAGCTCAGTGATAGAACCCTTTCCAAAAACATTATATATCGTGTAGTTCCATTTATATAAAATATCCAGAATGAATGTTTTTATAGGGGAGAAGAGCAGACAAGTGGTTGCCTAAAGCTGAAGGTGGGACTGGGGATTGACTGCTAAAAAGTCTCAAGTGAGTTTCTTGTGTTAACGAAAATGTTCTAAAACTAGATTATAGTGATAGTTGCACAACTTTATAAATTTACTAAAAAGTATTGAGTTGCATACTTAAAATTGGTTAATTTAGTTTTAAATTTTTTTATAAAGCTTTATTTAAAAGCTAAAGAGAAGAAAATGTTGACTTAGTCCAATCAAATTTCCTTTCTGTGTCATGTGAACTAGAAAACCCAAAGAAATGAACAAACAAACAAAAATGTGATTATCTGTGGGAACTAAAGCAGCAAGGTTTTAGTAGAGTGAGTGGAGACAGCCATGGTGATGTCTAGGCATCCCTATGACATAATAAAAAATACTATGAATAAGTAGGGTTGATAGAGCAGAATGGAGAGAGTACTTGGAGAGATGGAGAAACCTCATGAGCAAGATTAAGTTGTTCATGAGAGACAGAGAGAGTAGCAGGACCTAGCACTCCCCTGATTTCTGACAGATTTCCAGTTCTAGTCTACAAATATCTTCATAACAAGCACTTCTCATACCCTGTCCTCCATGATATGAAGGAATCTGTACTTTTATTGAAAATATCCTGACTAGAAAAGCTAGTAATCTGCCCTAACAGCATTACCAGATGCCATTCATTTTAAATAATGTATATATATTTGTACATGTCCATTGTCTTTAACAAGAAGCAGTTTCTAAGTCTTTTCTTGGGAGATGTCTTAGGTGAAAGGAGATGGCAAGTGGAAACTGTGCATATCCAAGCCCATTCTTGTCTTGAAACACATCAGGAACATCTTTTTTTTATTCCCCATTTATTATAATCATCTTAAGCACAACAGAAAGAAGGTTATATATTAAGATGCTAATTTCACACAATAATTGTGAACTAATAATTTTATTTCATGAGACAGTAACCACAAAGAAAGATTTGAAGAGTAGGGTCATTTCTACTTCACATGAAGAACATTTTTTTAGGTTAATATTTGGCTTCTTATAAGTAGAACCTATCTTGTAGGCAATATATGTATGAAAAGTGCCTTTACCAAACCAAAACCTCATAAACCTCATCTCATAATATGATTGCCCCAAATACAAACAAAAATAAAAGTGAACATGTATCTGCTGCAAAATGTGTAACATTTGAGGATTACACTCACTTACTTCGCATGTTGCACTAATGCATTCAGTGACTGATGGGGACACTGTCATTCAGGTCCATAGTTTATTCAAATTAGCACGTATACAGAAGTGAGTGGCCAACCCCATGAGTCACTTAAAACTGCTAAATTTACTTTGATTCATGCAGTACAATGCCCTCTGCATCTCAGTTCTAGGGACTACTGTATTCATTTGGCTTCTAAACACAGTTAGAAGTGACCAAGTAGTCTAAAAAAATACACCCACAAAGCCATTTCTTGAAAAATGAAACACCATGGAAAGCAAGATAATGAAATAAGGGTATTTACTGCTGCCCTTTGCATTTGTCATTTGAGTAACCAGTTCTGTACTAAGTCCTTTGGAAATTCTGTTATAAAAAAATCATTCCTCCCCAGATTGTTCACATTCCTAAAGGTGCTTCCTACTTAGCATGGACTCCACTGGATAATAGTGAGTTTATACACATTTCCATTTGTGCATTATGAAACCAGGAGCTTGCCCAGATTCCTAGTTAGCACCCTTTCCATTCCCACCGTTCACATACACAAACGTTCAGAAATAGTGGAGCCAGCACAGAGAGGCAGAGAGAGAACAAAACAGTCTATTGGTGGGGAAATTTGAACAGATGAAAACTAATTTTCCTCTTAAACATATGGGCAATGAGTCCTTGAATAGTGACTACCTTATCTCAGGCGCAGGTTTGATTTGGAGTAAAGAAGAGTTTGTGAGGTTTGCTGCTTTACTCCCCAGAAAGACAGAATGTAGGTCAAAATGAAGTTTGTCCTGAAAACAATTCTAATTTTTCTCATTCTTTTAAAGTCCTCTCTCTCTCTCTCTCTCTCTCTCTCACTCTCTCTCCCTCTCCCTCCTTGCTTTTCATCACTTTGAATATCTCATGCCAATCTCTTTTGACTGAAATGTTTCTGTTGAGAAACCCAGACAAGAAAAAGCTAAAGGAGTGAATTACCACCAAACCAGTATTACAAGAACTGTTAAAAGTCAGAGAAAGACAAATACCATACTATAGTATTTCACTTATATGTGGAATCTAATGAACAAAATAAACTAACAAAAAAGTTGTGTGTATTTCTCTTATTTTACTCTTTTATTCTGCCTATAGAATATACATTTCTAAAATCCTAGAATTTTTGATATATAAATCCTCATTAACTCAGTGCTCTGACATTATAATGATGTGGTGGCCCTTTGAATTAATTTATTTATTTATTCCCTAAAGATCCTTTGGAGGGCATCAGTGTGCCATGCCTTGTAGCTTCTGGGGGTGGCCAGCAATCCTCTGTATTCCTTAGTTTGTAATACATGGCTTTAATCTCTGCCTCTGTCTTCACACAGACTTCTCCTCTGTCTTTGTCTTTTCTTATAAAGACACTAGAGGCCCGGTGCACAGATTTGTGCACCAGTGGGGTCCCTCAGCCTGGTCTGCGGGGATCGGGCCAACAAGTCCGGTGCACGGATTCGTCCAGGGTGTGTCTGGCCCATCTCACCCAGTCCTGATCGGGGCCGATTTGGGCCGTCTTGCCCAGTCCTGATCAGAGCTGACTGGGGCCGGCATGGGAGGGACCTTGGGAGGGCTCCAGGGCATGTCCAGCCTGGACCACAGCAGCAAGCTAATCTACTGGTCAAGCGTCTGCCCCCTAGTGGTCAGTATGCATCATAGCGACTGGTTGAACGGTCGAACAAACGGTCTGACACTTAGTATATCAGGCTTTTATTATATAGGATGTGTCATTGGATTTAGGGCCCAACCTAATCTAGAAAGATCACTACTGCAAAGACTCTTTTTTCTAATAAGGTCACATTTACAAGTTTTAGATGCACATATCTTTCCAGGGAGGGAAGGGGTGTCACTGTTTAACCCACTCCAGACCAGATCCTGAATTTATCCTTACTGCGCGTAGATTTCAATACATTTGTCATTGTCTATATACAGGGCTACTTTGCTGGGCATTGAGGGGTAATTCAATGGGAATGTCAATCATAGGAGTCCCCACCTTCCAATATCTAAACTGTGGAAGGCCTGCGTGTGAAACTCTGTCATTAAACTACAAATCTTCTCTTCCTGAATTCCTTATTTCTTCTAATGGCTTGAACATATGGCATCCTCTCTGACTCTTCTTTTTTCCTTTCTTGTGCACATACTGATGATTTCTGAGGAAAGAACAGAAAAGAGAAAGGAAGATGGAAGGAAGGAAGCAAAACAAATGCTTTACTCGCTGGAAAATGAGTCATTCAGGTTATAATAATCAGATTTGAAAGCAGGCACGGTACACACTGTAAGAGATTGACAGGGAAGAAGAGACTATTCTCCAAAGAGAATCTTCCTTTGGTAAATTCAGACTTGGCCAAGGAAAAAACGTGGAATAAGATTTTAGATAGAAGGCAAATTAAGATGGACAAAATGCCAATACATGACTATGTTAAGGCAAGTGTTTAGAGAGAAATTCTTGTAAGGATTTTTCCAAGCCAAAGCTTCTGCTATCACAGTATATACAATATTACAGACTTGAAATCTGAAGGGGAAAATCTGGCTGTTGTTAAGTAGAAATGAATAACACTTATAAGTAATCAGTAGGTTATTAAGTAGGAGTTAATTGCATTTGTATATAATAAGTAGTTCCTCATATGTTTCCTTTTGCATAATTCTTATTTGAATATGGAGTTGATTTCTACACAAAAAGTATAGATAATTGTAAACATTTTAGATATATTCCAGGATGAACATGAGAATAGCCTGTTGTCTAAAAAATTACACAATCCTGCAATTTTTAAGACAACATACCGTTTTCAAAATAAGAATTGTACATTCTAATCATGTCAAGAGGAACTTAGCTTATTGGTTATAAATAATGATTCTGAAGTAAGATTTCTTAGAGTCAAATAATAGCACAACCATTTGTTTACTTAACTTCTCTGTGCTTCAGTTTTCTCATCCATAAAATATTTTATAATGATGTTATGCCCATCTCAGATTCTTGTGAAGATCAAAAGAGATAAAAACAGTGTATGGCAGGTAAACACAATAAATTATAGCTCCTATTAATAATAATCCTGCAAAAGCCCGGCATTGTTGGTATTGATGACACCAGTTTCACAAATAAAGAAGCAGGTTCAGAAGATTAAATAACTTGGCCAAGTTTAAATTAAGAAGATGAAATTCAAACCCTCTTTTTCTTGCCTCAAACCCCATAAACTTTACTATACTACACTTGCTCTCATTGCAGCTATTTTACATAAAGTATCTAAGGGAAGTAGAAAACAACTAGCTTTTAATTGGATGTATCATATGCTTGACAAGTAGGTGTTCAATAACTGTAACACAAGAGGTTGACTGAGTGCCTGCTGGCTGACAGACCATAAACCTATGTATGATTCTAACAAGGTTACTGCTCTCCCTGTTGCCCAATATGCCAGACTTAGTCTTGACTTATGCTTGACTGTGTGTGTGTGTGTGTGTGTGTGTGTGTGTGTGTTCTTCCCCTCACATGTGTATGGTCCTCATTTGTTCTTCCCCTTGTTCTGTGTATAACTATATACAGCTCCCAACTTCTAATTCAAATTCTATACATTCATCAAGGGTCTCTACAAGGTTTTACCTCAATATTTTCCACCGCTTAATGAGAGTTGCCAGATATGTGTACCATCTGCACTATTATTTATTTATTTAGTACTTTCTTTAAGTTGATGCAACTTTTCTTAAATTTGTTTGAAAAAGAAACCGTTATCTTAAATGCAAAACCAGTTTCACTGGCACAGGCAGGAGCTATCAAATCACTATAATGTAAGCAAAATAAAATTAAATTCTAGCTAGATTTTGCCACTTGCCAAAGGCTCTGAGTTTGAGGCTTGCTTGTCCTTGGTTACAAAAAATAAATCAAATACCTACCTGGGAGGGGAGATCCCATGATCGTGAAGGTGGTTTCCCAAGGCCAGGCTTATCCACTGAACTCCAGATGTGCTGACCCCTATCATTTCCCCAGATGTGGGAAAAGCAACTGTATCATTTGTGGTCGTGGGAGATTGTGCGCTCACTTTCTCCTGAAAAAAGAACAAAAAAATCAAGGTAAACCCATGATAGGTATAAATGACATATTTGCATGAAACAAATTTTAAAACTTCCTCATTGAAGTCATCAAATAAACTGAAAGAAAGCAAAAGTGGAATAACTTTATAATTGAGTATTTCGATGTTATTTAATGCCACTTTCCAGTACAGCTTATAAAATCTCTCATACAGTGCTATGCATCTCATCCTTTGGAAAACATTAATTTATCTGATCTCCCAGACCCATTATTTCTTTTGTGAACGACTTGATTTATTTATGCCACTTATTTGGGAAGTGTATCATAATGTTTTTTATATGCTACTTAGTTTATATAATTTCTTGTAGACACATGCAAAAGGAATCCTCAAGATAACAAAATCTTAGTCACAAGTCATGGTTCAGCCAAATGAGAAATCATCTCACATACAATGACTTGATCCATGCCATGTATTGGAGAATGATAAAGAAAACTTGAATGGTTTATAGCAAATTATTTTAGCAAATTATTTTAAATTCTTTATCAGTAAAGAATTATATTTGGGAATAACTATTTATTTTTTCTCCTGGACCTGTTCATGATGTTCTGTGTATAACTATATACAACTCTGTATAGCTGGAAACACAATATCCTTTGTAAGAGAAGACTATTCAGCAAAGTTATTTGTTGTATTGTTGTCTAAGCTTTCTGTTTTAAAAGCTAATTATTTGAGTTAAAGTTTAGCTTTGTATTAATGAGGATTAAAGTTTAGCAGTTTAGAAGTCCATTTGCATTTCTTAAGACTTCAGTATCATATTAGAAAATCAAACTCAACAAACAGATTTAATTTGCCAACCATCCTAAGCTGCTCATCTTTATTAAACACCTGAATTTGAGAATAGGTCAAAAGGGTGCACTGCACTCATTTGCTATTCAACTTGACTCACTTCCTCTGTAGATCAGATCTTGGCCCTTTCTCAATACACATGTGTATTCTGAAAAGTATAAATAAAAGACAAGAATAATTATAGTTATCTTCACTTTTGGTTAATCCCCATAACTTAGCCATGTTCACAGTATTCACCTCTATTATGCTTTTATATCCATAGAACTGACTTCAAATTTGAAAGTGGTATGCCTATGAAAACACAGTATTTCTTCAGAATAATTCTACTTGCTTTCAGAAAAATAGTACTATTTCAATATTGATTAAATATTTAAGTTTTGCAGAATTTTGTCCTCAGAATAACAATATATTCATTCATATATAAAAATATGGTCATCTTAGGATTCAATATATATCCAAAGATTGAATTGATAGATGTATTTTTTAAATTCTGCTACACCTTAAAACATAGTTACTTTTATATAAGTTTTAACAAGTTCTAAAATTATTATACATTCTTGAAGGCTGGAAAAAAAATACACAACTGAAGGTTAGTCAGAAGGTTTTCTCTCATACAAATTTAAACATTTTTCATTCTTAATGCAGTCTATCAGCAAGAAAGGTTATGACCTGATATTAATAGCCAGAGAAACAAAGGGTTTTTGATTGTCTTTGTATTCTAACCCTCTAGCAGCTGATAAATATTTTATCTGCATCTTCCACATACAGCATTATGCCATGTTCAAAAGTATTTTAACTAGTTTTCAAATGTTGGACTTAATTACATAAGCTTTCCTTTCAGAACAGTTTAGTGGAAGAAAAGCTGTCTGTTTTAGTAAAAGAAGATGGACACTAGAATCAACAGGCCTGACTTTTAATCATTGTACCCCCTTGAGAAAGTAGTTTTACTTCTCTCAGAAGATGTTTTCAGGTTTCCAAATGAGTATCTCTCTTGTAGACATCAACAAATAATATATGGCACTGATCATAAGAGTTGCTTTAAAAATGGTAGCTATGATTATCCAACTAGCCATTTTAAATAAAGCATTAATTTTCCATTAAAACTAAATTTAGGTAAGTATAATTAGCCTTAACTGTTAATAATAATAGTAACATTATTATTATTATTATTAATGATTATTATTTTCTACCCTCACTTGTTCATTCCATATGTGTGTGTGTTTTTTACTGGAGATCTATTTTGCCATGTCCTGGTGGTGGGCACTGAAATTGTGGCTTGATTGAAAAACATAATCTTGGATGGACCTAAAGGGTATTATGCTAAGTAAAATAAGTTGGGCAGAGAAAGACACATTCACTATGATTTAACTTATATGGGGAATCTAAAAAACAAAACAAATGAAAAAACAAAACAGAAACAGACTCATAGAAACAGAAAACAAAGTGATGGTTCCTGGAGGAGGGTAAGTGGGGGAGTGGGTGAAAAAGGTGAAGGGCTATAAACTCTCAGTTATAAAACAAATAAATCACGGGATACAATGCACAGCATAAGGAATATAGTCAATAATGTTGTAATGACTGTATGGTGACAGATAGTTACTAGACATAACATGGTGATCACATAGCAATGTATATAAATGCCAAATCACTGTTGCACACTGAAAATTACAATATTACATATCAAGTAGACTTTAATTAAAAAATAGAAATCTCTGTCCTCATGGAGTTTACATTCTGACAACAATTTTTTTAAAAATAAAGTAAATGTTACTGTAGCAATGAAAGTACTGTTGAGCAAATGAAGCAGAGTGGTGGACTAGTATGAAGGGAAAAGAAGACAACTTTAGATAAGGTGGTGGGAGGAGACCTCTTTGAGTGGTGATATCTGAGCAGAGTCGTGAAAGGTAGAAGGAAGCCAGTGTTAGCCTGAGAGAACATGAGGTACAGAGGAGATAAAGCCGACAAGCCCGAGGCAGGAAGAGCCCCGTGACTTTGATCTAAACAGGGGCTGACTGGTTGAAGATGAATTGAGGAGCAAGGCAGGGGCCATTCCTGTAAAGACTTGCTAACTGTAGCAAGACTAGGGAGCCACTGAAGCAGCCAAGTTTAAGTTTAAAAAGGTTTTTCTAGGTGGCCATTATTGCAGGTGCCAAAAGGAGAAGTATGTGTTCCAGATGAATAGTAGCCAATTAAGTGGTGAGAGATAGTTGAAATATAACTTGAAGCTAGAGCTGATGGTGGTGAGAAAAAGAAGAGAATCAAGAAAGGCCACTACTTTTTGTCTTTTGCGATAGGGGGCGAGGGGGAAGGCGGGGAGAGAGAGGAGGCAATAGTACTATGCATTGAACCAAGGAGGGGGGAGTGTAATTTAAGAATATCAGTCAAGTATAGGTACAAAGAAAGCAAATGGATACTTTAAACATTTATTATTGGGCTTCTATTTGTTTCAAAAATATTTTCTATATTTTCCACATGGCAAGAATTGTTTATGGTGAATATACTCAAAGGTGCTGAAGTGAACTGTATCATTCCCTCAAGTAATCTGACCTGTAGAGAGCTCCTCTGCACTGTATTTACTTTAAAGGAATTCCCTAATTGTCAAAGGTATCTGCCTGAACCTCCCTGAATCTTTCGCAGGTCAAGAATCATATCCTACTAGACACAGACACATGGCAGCCCCACACAGAAAGCACCTGCCGAAGGACCGCAAGTTGTGCTGCCTTAATGTATTCAAGATGTGAGATTGTTCTAGACCAGTGATGTTCTAGAGCTCGGCATGTCAGCATTTTGAAAAGCCCTAACTTAACTCTGGTGCTGTGTCACATACAGAAATTTTTTGATATTTAAAACCATAGTAAAACAAAGATGTATATTTTTGATATTTATTTTATATATTTAAATGCCATTTAACAAAGAAAAATCAACCAAAAAAATGAGTTTGCGTGTCACCTCTGACACGCGTGTCATAGGTGTTCTAGACTCTCTAAAGCAGGATTCAGCAAATTGTGGCCTGCAGGCCAAATCCAGTCCTCACCTGTTTTTCTAAGTACGGTTTCATTGTTACGCAGACACACCTATACTTCAGGTGTGATGTGTGCCGCATTCACACTACAGCTGTAAAGTGGGGTAGTTGCTACAGGGACATGGGCCACAAAGCCTAACCTATTTACTAAGTAGCCCTTTAAGTCAAAGCTGACTGACCCCTGCTCTAAAGTATCTTTTAACCATGAAGCCTCATGATCTTATTATGTAAGGGTAAGGAAATCACAGATGAGCTAAGTTCTATATTCCTTTACCACTTGAAATAATTATGAGTAGATCCGATACTCAGCATTTCATTTTAGTGATTTTCTTTTCTTTTCTTTCCTTTAAAGCTGAAAATCAGAGTTCAGTCAATACAACAGAAAGGCCAGGTAAGTGAATGTTTTTATCCTCTGAGGATGTTTGTGTGTAAAATCCCCAAAACAAGACAAAGTAGGTCAACCAGTTTGAGGGCAGGGTGAAACAGTCCAGGGAAAACATTATATAGCAACTCAGATGTTTATTAGAGCGCAGGTTTAAAAATAAACGCAGGCCAGGGGAACACACAAGAATGTGCCAGAATATTCTGTGGCTTTAGTGAGTGGAACCAGCCCTGGTATGTGGATGAAGCCTGTGGGATTGTCCTCTGACCAGAACCTGCTTTTCCTGGTCTGTTTCTATGGTTGGCATGCCCTCTCCCAGAAGTATAGTGTGTCTATGAGCTGTCTTCTCTGTATTTCCTAACAAAGCCTGGTCCTGGCATACAAAGAGATGATGTTATAAACCACAGTTAACAGCCTAAAATGTCACGCCAAGACGTGCTCATGTTTTGCCATCCTTAGTTTTAAGCGGAATGAATTTCAGATGACGGGACAGCAGGAACTGAGAAAGATAACTGGGTAGGGAAAGATGGTAACGTTGAATCTTCCTGTTGTTTTGAAATCAAAAATTATTTGGTGGATTTTTATCTTCTCACATCCTATCTGGTACTTTACTAAATGACAAGTCTCTTAGGTTCTCAATCCTGGTCACCTCTGGTATTTATAAAATGAGAAATATGTGAAATAAATATACAAGATTATGTAACTTTTTTTAAAAATCAGAAAAGTAAAGCCATGAAAATTTTAAGTGAATCTAATAACATTTTCACAGCAAATGGCCTAAATAATCATCATAATCTACCTTCTACTTTTAATGTTCAAGGAATTCAAAACTGAAGTGATTATGCTTTTAACTTTTAACTATTTGTTTTCTATATATCTCATGAATGAAGAGTTTATTTTTATATTATTAGTTCTCTGTATCTCATCTCATCACCACGTTTGCATTCTCATCTCCACTGACATAGTCTGGAAATGCACTCGAAAGAGCACTGGAAACAACCTAGCAAAACCAAACACACAGCAGTACATCCAGGCAAAGAGCGCGGCTTGGCTTTGCGTTTGGTGATGCTGTGCATGTCTGGAGAAGTCCTTCCCTCTGGTCCACAGACTGGCTCTCCTAGAAGAGCTGTAGAGGGGGAACTGGGAAGCTGCAGAAATCCTCAGCTCTTTTTAAGGAGGGACTGAGCATCCTTTCTTTTGTTTAGAAAAGTTCCTTTTGTTTACAAAATGCCAGCTTTAGCTATAATTGATTTTTAAATGTAATGAATAGCCCATTTAGAATATTTTAATTTTGAGTTACGGAAACGAATTCTCCTAAAACAGACAATAAAATGAGCCAATGATTTGAATAGTGGACTAGAAAGAAATGACACTAATTTCATAAGCCACAAGAAAAGTCAGTCTCAAGTTTCAGATATATGTTGTGGCTAAAGACTAAATCAAGATTCACTGAAAAATAATAATAATAGCATTTATTAACAAGGTATTCATTTAAACCTCTGTTAACAGCTGTAATTGTGTTTATTTATTTAAAAGGTTTGATTATATATACATATTATCAAAAATGTTCAAATATCAAATTTGTGAAATATTTACCCATATGATCAAGGAGAGGGACATTTAAAAACAATATTTCTTTTTTAGGTAGAAGCTGAGGTATTGTTGTGGGATTGTCTTCTGACCAAATATCAGCCCACAGAATTGTTAATACTGCTTCTTTTTAAAAAAATAAATATGAGTTAATATGCATGTGTTTGACTAGATCATACATATCTATCATATTTGATTTTTTTTCATATTATGCATCCAGCTTTAATTTTCTTGAAGAATGATGTTTTTACCACCCCTTTCAAAACCTATTAGTAAGGATCAAGAAACTGATGATTGTTTTATATAGGATCTTTTTTTGGAAATCAAAATAAGTAAGACAACTCTACAGAAAGTGTGAATTATAAGATATTGTACACATATTATGTTTAATATTATCTAATAAAGATAAAAGAAAGGTTGTCGTAGTTATATGGAAATGATTGATACAGGTCTGAAGACATATCCATTCATTTTATTCAATAGTATGCAGTAGACAGCTATAGTTAACAATGCTAAGGATGGAGAAGTCATGCTCAATGTCTAAAGCATGCAGGGAAGTCCAACTTAAACTGCTCATTGTAACAGACCTGATAAAACTTCAAATTTAGTATGATACCCTGCTAAATATACAGAATAGTATGTTCAGCCAACCACCACTAACTGAGGCATTCAGTAATATGGAAGCTGCCATTAAGTGTTCCCAAGGAAGACTGGTCAGCATCATAAATAATTCTAAAATTCTAGTAGTTGTGTAGATATAAAATGATAGACAAGTTTCAGATGACCTAATGTTAAGATTGATTGAGGGAAACATTTTTTTCTTTAAGTTGTGGTTGTGTTATACATTGAATATGGGAAAAGCAGTTTAAGAACGATGAGGAAAGGGTTTATGAAAAAGTGACCTTCTAGCTGCCAGATTATTCTGCCTATTCATTTTCTGTGAGTTCAGAGTTCCTAAGGAGATGGAAAGACCCACTATAAAGTGATGAAAGGCTGTTTATTACTTAGCGACTTCACGTGGCTATTACAAGTTTAAGCAATGATGGAATCCACTTTTCTTTAGCGTTATCATTTTTCCACAGACTTGTCCTTGTAAATAAACCTCTTTATTTCTTTGATAAAAGACCTCAGCTCTGAAGAAAAATGGACATACATGTTTCAGTGTATTAGGAAAGAAATAAGCCATTTGCCCTTATTTTTGTGGAAAATAAAACTATATTAGTTGGGGTTCTCCAGAGAAACAGAGTAAATAGGATAGATGATAGATAGATAGATAGATAGATAGATAGATAGATAGATAGATGATAGATAGATAGATAGATAGATAGATAGATAGATAGATAGATACAGATAGATATAGATGTATGTATAATATTTTATTTTTCATCATGGATAGATAGATAGATAGATAGATAGATAGATAGATAGATAGATAGAGATAGATTAATTATAGAGGCTGAGAAGTCCCAAGATCTGCAGTCAGCAAGCTGAACGCCTGAAGACCCAGGAAAGTTGACAGTGTCATTCAGTCTACATGCAAAGGTCTGAGAACCAGGAGACCCAATGGTACCAGTTGGAAAGCCAGCAGGTTTGAAGTAAAGAAGAGCCAGTATTTCAATTTGAGTCCAAAGGCAGAGAAAGACCGAAGTCCCAGCTCAAGGGAGTCAGGCAGGAAGAGTTCCTTCTTACTCAAGGGAGGGTCAGCCTTCTTATTCTTGAATTGGATTCAACCAATTAGATGAGAACCTACATTGGAAGGCAATCAGCTTTACTCAATGACTGATTCAAATGTTAATCTCATCCAAAAACACAATCACAGACACCCCCAGAATAATGCTTGACCAAATATCTGGTCATCCCAAGGCCAAGTCAAGTTAACACATAAAACTCATCCTACAGCAGTATTCCTATAGTGACCAGCACAACTTGTGAAGGGTTTCATTGTACCTATTTTCTTCACTTTCCTCCATTGTATTTTAGAAGCCCTACTGCATTGTAGATATTAATTTTTTTTCTTTATTGATTAAGGTATTACATATGTGTCCTTATCCCCCCACTGCTCCCCCCCACACTCATGTCCTTACTCCCCTGTTGTCTCTGTCAATTGGTTAGGCTTAAATGTATGCATACAAGTCCTTTGGTTGATCTCTCCCCCTCACCCCCACCCTCCCCTACCTTCCCTCTGAGGTTTGACAATCTGATCGATGCTTCTCTGTCTCTGGATCT